GGCCCCCAATACTCCTTCCATTGCCTTGATGGAGGGCAGGAATGTCCTGGGCTGAGGTGGGAATCTGTAGGGACAAAGGGATTTCACTGGCCTTGCCTGTGGGCAGCAGAGAGTGGCAGGGGACAGGAGTGTGGCACGGCATGTGACACAGAACCCCAAAGCAGAGACTGACCTGCCCTACAATGGGTTGAGGCAGGTAGTGCAGTTATCTGGTTAGCTGAAGTCTGGGAGGTTAGCAAAGCAAAGGTGCACCTGCATATCAGCAGCCACGTTCAATGGCAAGGGCCAGCTCCAGAGCAGGGGGTGGGGGGCAGTTAGCCTGGCAGGTGGAGTGGCTCTGTAGTTCTCTCAGGCCTGGTGACCAGCATCCCCTGACAGGATAGTGGAACCCACTTCAGGCTGAAAGTGGGTGACACGGACTCATTTATGCACGTGGGCCTTTCCCCTCCACCGCTCCCCTCTTCCTCCTCCAGCCTCCACTCCACTCCTGCATCTGTTGTCTGGGGGTAAATTCCAACACCCCACATGTGGATGGAGGCTGAACACTCAGTCAGCTGGAGGGACGGAGCCACTGTGACAACTGCATTGAAGTGGCAGGTCCCTGTCACCCTCCTTACCCATCATCCATCCCATGCATCAGCAGGGAGGGAGGTGGTGTGGATAGCACCATTTGCTGCCCTCAGAGGTTGATCTGACCTGGAAGCATTTCCTCTCTACAGGCTGTCCCCACAACTTCTGCCTGTCCCTGGAGCCACCTGACTCTCGCCTCCTTTTAGAATGATCAGCTTTCCTTGAGCATCTGAGTCCAAATATTCACATCCTCGCCTTTGGATCTTAGACTTCCAGGCTGCTCAGGAGCCCAGGGAACCCTTCGAGACCCGGCTGCCCTCCTCCCCAGCCTCCCTAAAGGCTTCTTGTTCCATTCCTAACCACACTTCTCTGTGTGTGAGTCATTTTGTCACCATACCTGATGAAAGGTAACCAGAACCAAGCCAAGTGTTCCAAGCTGTGGTCTGAGAGGGACAGACCAAAGAGGAATAGTCCCCTCCTTCATTCCAGATGTGACACCTTTTGCAATGGGGTTTTGCAATGCCTTCTGGTCTCCTAATCCAAGCAGGAAAATCCAAGTGGTTAAATTTTTTCACACCATCAGTCAGCAGCTTACTTCAAATTTCTGCTACTTCCTGTAAGATGGTGAGTCTCAATCTGCAGGGGCCTCACAGTCACCTGGAGGGCAGCTTAGTCTGGGTGGGGCCCAAAGTTTGCACTTCCCGTGTTCCTGATCCAGGGCCGCACTTTGAGAACCACTGGCTGGGACCACACTGCCCAGTACACCCCACACCCACATCCACATAGCCCTCGGAGGGGGACTAACCTGTGTTGTCGCAGAGCCTCCTTTCCCAGGTCACAGATCTGCCCCACCTGTTCTTCTCTGCGGTGCCCCACGACTTCTGCTCGCTCTTTGTGGACTTGGTCCTGTGGCAGGGCTGAGCTCACTTCTCCACAGTTTCCCCTTAGGCAGCCCAGAGGCCTGGTCCTTCCTCACCTTCCTCCTACTAGCTCTGGGAGCCTGCTCATAGTCATCTTTGCCCTGTCACCTGCATCTTCTGCCCCTTGTCCTCTCTCCCAGGTGAGGGGTGGCCTGCCCTGCCCCCAACCCATCAGCCTCTTTCTCTCCCCATCTCTTCCAGGGCATCCCAGCCTTTAGCAAATCAGGCTCTTGGTGGCTGCTTACTAGACCAATATTCAGAGTAGGGACCCTGGCTGCGTGTGTGTGAGAGAGAGACAGACAGACAGACAGAATTTTTCAACTTTGCCATGATATAAAAGCAATGTGCTTGAAATTTTGAATTTTGATCTTTTCTAGTTATATTCAATATGATATTCAGTCTCTCACGAGGCTGGGCAGGGAACCACAGCTCCTGTTCAAACTTATGACCATGAGGGAGACACTGAGACCTGCAGTGTCCCCTGCTGCTGAGCCTCTGTGCTCACAGATTGGGCATTCAGCGTGTTTCCACATACTCCAGATCTGGAAGGAAACCTAGATTTGCAGGTTTCCTTAGCAATTTTCTGCCAACGTATGGAAGGACCCTCCCATCCACATGTAAGGCAGGTCAACGTTACTTCTCCATGCTTTGGTTATGGATGTCCTTTATATATCTTTTTTTTTTTTTCAGCACTGTGGCTTAAACTCAGGGCCTACTCCTTGAGCCACTCCCCCAGCCCCTTTTTGCAATGTTTTTTTTTAAGATAGGGTCTTGTGAACTATTTGCCCTGCCTGGCTTTGAACCGTGATCCTCCTGATCTCTGCCTCCTGAGTAGCTAGGATTGCAGGCGAAAGCCACAGGTACCCAGCCCAATGGATGTCCTTTACTGCCAACTTCCTCCACTTGCTTTCCCTAAAAATGTCCATTTGAAAAATATTTGAGTGAGCACAGACTCCTCACTGCTGAAGCATCTGTTCTGGCCTCTTCTGGTTCCCTACCCCTCAGAACTGTCCACATCTGGTGAGATCCAGAAGCATCTGCGGGGGAAGAGCTCTGGACTGGGCATCACCCCTTCCCTTTCCTTATCTGTGAAATTGGGGCAGGATAGGACAGCCTCTAGGTAATTCTGACACCTGCAGCTTTTATGGCCACACTAAGGCACACACATAGACACCCCGAGCCACTGTCATCCTTGATTCCTGCCTTAGGAATGGAAATGACTGTTCAGCCTGCAGTGCAGAACTCCGGTTTACAAAGCCATTCCATAACCTCAGTGGCTCTGCTGAGCCTTGAATCAACCCTGTGGGCTCTTTGCTGCATTGCCCCCACTTTTCAGGTGGAAAGACTGAGACGCAGAAGTGGGGTCGTTTTTGTAACTGTGAGTGCCACACAGTGGAGAGCCACAGCACAGCTGCACCTGCCCAGTGGTTGGGACACTGATTGGTGTTGCCTTCCCGGGGTCCCTGTGCACGTGTTCTGTGTTTAATCACTGCTATGATTAATCCAGCACACCCTGAGGACATGTGAAACTGATGAGGGGACCCCACCCACATCCACAAATGGACTGAAGCAGCAGGAATTAAACCAAGTAACCAGTCTCCAAACAGCCCTCAAAATAGAGGTGAAAACCACAGGTGAACAAGGCTCATTTTGACTGTGGCTGTCTCTTTCCTTTTACAAAACATTTATCACAAAGTACTTGAAGCATTCAGAAAAGCACAGAATAAAATAAACATCCAGGGACCCACTAGCCAGAGTTAATAAATGTCCACATTTTTCTCCATTCACTTCCTATTTCTTTTAAAGACATTCCCCTTCCTTGTTGGTGGCTTCCCAGTGGCCACAGACATTTGAGGCTATATTATTCAAAACACTTTGATCTGTACATCAGAAGGATCCGCTGGTTGTTGAAATCCGAAGTGCTTTTTAATTGTGGTAAAATATACATAACATAAATTTTCCCATTCTGAGTTTTTTTTAAGTATACAGCTCAGTGGAATTAAGTCACACTGTCACATAACTGTCGCCCCATCCGTCTCCAGCATCTTTTCATCATTACAAATGGAGCTCTGAGCCTATTCAAGGTCGACTCCCTGTTCCCCACCCCCACCCCACTGCCTGGAGACCAATGTCCTCCTTTTGTCCCCATGAATCCTGCTTCTCAGGAGCTTCAGACAATCGCCATCATAAGGTTCTTGTCTTTTCATGTCTGCCTTTTTTCTAGGTCCATCCATGCTGTAGCATGGAACAGAATTCCATTCTTTTTTTTTAGGCTGGCAATATACTGCTGTATGTGTATACCACAAGTTGTTTACTTACCCAGCCATCAGTAGACATTTGGGTTGTTTCTACCTTTTGGCTGTTGTGAGTAATGTCACTATGAGCAGGAGTGAGATACTTGCTCAAGTCATTGCTTTGGATCATTGGGGTGAGCCAATGGGATTGCTGGATTAGATGGTGATTTGTGCATAGTTGTCAGGGGAGCCACTGTTGTGTTTTCCAGAATGCTGAGCCCTTGTACATACCCCCCCCCACCCCCTGGGCAATTTGCACAGGCTCCAATTGCTCCTAGTCCTCAAAGCTACTTGTTGCTTTCTGGTTTTTGACAATTGCCATCCCAGTGGGATCATCTTCCTTTAAAGAGGAAGAAACAGAGGCCAAGAGAGGCAAGGAGGTCATTTGTTTGTCAGACAAACAAGTCAGTGACAGAGCCCTGGAGACTGGGTCTCCTGACCCCCACCTAGTCCTTGCTACTTAACTACACAATCCAGTTTCTGTCACTCTGTGTCAGAGGACACCTAGCCCGGCTGCCAGCCAGATATATACTTCAGGTTTATTTGATTTGAGCCTTACCAAAAAACCAAAAAAAAAAAAAAACCTTCAAAACAGTATCAACATTTTAAAATGTTGATTTTATATTGTGAATGCCTAAATTTCTGATTTCTACAACTTCCCCTAATGGTAGTGATCCTCCACCATGTTCTAGCACGGCAATTGAGTAGCAGCTGCTGTCTTTAGAGGGGCCACCAGTTTGCTACAGTCCCCACCACTCTCTAATGTCCTTTCACACTGACTGCTGTGCACACTGGCTGGCCCTGGTGACACTGGAGTTTGCAGCCTCTGCCTTCTGAGCACAGAGGTATCAGTCACTCGGTATGCAGAACGTCACAGGCTGGTTTCATGTCTTGATTTGCTCCTCTGTTCTGCACTGTCTTCGCTATTCACACTAAGAGTGAGGTAATATTCCAAATGCATTAATACAAAATATAAACAAAGACATTATTGGATAGTCTAACTTAGAAATAGGGTGAATGCCAGCCAGTGTCCCCCTTAGTCTTGCCTCTTGAAGGAACTTTCTGGACAACTTGGCAGACCTGCTCCTGCCTGTGTGTCACACTGTTAGCGAGGTAGACTTCACCACCAGAGTCAGTCTCTCAGAGTGACCCCCTTCTGAACCGACCCTCCTGTGGCTGCCGGCATACCCACCCTCTGCTTTCTTTTTGCTGACAGGTGAGGAACGACCTGACCGGGGTTCTGTATGGGGAGGACATCGAGATCTCAGATACTGAGAGCTTCTCCAATGACCCCTGCACCAGCGTCAAAAAACTGAAGGTATGTGTAGCTGCCCACGGCCCCAGTGATGCTCCAGGGTTCCCCAAAAACCCTCACTGTGAAAGAGTCCAAGTTCATTTCTACCTTGGCATCTCAGGCTTCAGGAGAAGCCCCCAGGAGATGGCTTCCCTGGGTCTCCATTGCTTGCTGTCCAGCACCGGTCAAGGTATTGATTGCCAGGTGCACCGCCCATCAGACCTTCCACAGCGATTGGCTCTCAGCCTCACCTGCAGGGCTCAAGCTAGGATCCTTTCTGTTTTGAAGGGATTAGAGTGAGGCGCTGTCTTGCCCAAAGTCCCCAGCAATGAAACACTGTTGTTGGCAGGGACTCCCCTCTAGTGACAGTCACTCTAGGAGCAGATTAAAGTCAACTAGAAGTCCCCCAGTTGTACATAAATCTCTACCTTTCATCTGGCCACTCCCACACCTTTTATGTGCCGACCCTTCTCCTGGGCTCCCAGGCACCATCACACCAGACCTTATCCTCAAGTTGCTCACAGCAGGACAAGGAAGGCAGGCATCTAGAAGAGGAAATGAGGGAGCTGGGAACAGAGGCAGGAAGCAGCTCATCCCACCTGCAGGAGGGTTCATACCTGGTTCTGAGGACTAGAGGGCATTGGAGCCAGGCCTGCAGCTGCTGGCCAGGAAGGAGGACTCACGTGCCAGGGTAGCAGGCAGGCTCCTTTATGCCTGGGAGCCATAGGGATTCCACAGAGCCTGTTGTGTCAGGAGAGAGGTGCCAGGGACAAGGCTGAGGCTGCAAACAGAGCTTGGTGCCAGTTCCCAGAAGCCTTGAATGCCTAGCTAAATTTGATCTTTTATCCAGGGGCAATGGGACCTTCAGCCGGAGGTCCCTGAAGGCATAGTCAGAGATGTGGACTTCTTTCTCATCCATTCTCCCATGGACTCATTGGCATAGAGATCCCCGATGTCAACTGCTGACGTGTCCCTTCTGATGTGGGTGGGCTCCAGCTTACACCAGGCAGAGCAGGGGGCAGCTTAGACTTGGTGCTTTAAAATTCCTCAGTTCATAGATGGGGAGCCTGAAGCCCAGAGACGGGGAACCAGGAATGTCACCACCTGCTGTTCACCACCTCTTTTGGGGCAGACAGAGCCTGTGGGTCCCATAGCAGCCTCAGGAGCTTCTGCAGATGAGGTTCAGCAGCCAGCACAAGGCCCCATGGCAACCAGGTGGCCAGAGCCAAGTCTGCCCAAGTTTTCCCCCAATAACGCGGTGCCGCAAGCTGTCTGCAGTACGGGTCTTGTCGGGCTGTGTGCAGCCTGGAGGACTTGGGTGGGTGGCTGGGGTGGAGGGTGTTGGGGTACTACAGCAACATTCTTCTGCCACAAGCCGGGTGTCACCCCAGGGCAGCCGCTTGAAATAGTTTCTGGCCTCAGAGGTTAATTCTGAAAAGCGAAAGCCCTGGGTGTGGCGCGGAGGTCCTGGTTGAAAGTCTGCAGGCAATTGGGAATGGGACAACAGGACTGAGATTAACAATGATGAAAACAGCCAGCGAACCATTGCCCTGTCAGTGCATACCCTTGACCTTCGCTCACTCATTTAACCTCCCCAAAGACTTCCAAACAGAAGGAATTTTTGTATACCCATTTTATGGATGGTGACCTGAGGGTCAAAGTGGTTGAGGAACCCAAGATACCCAGTGGAATTTAAATCCAGATCCAATGGTGTCTCTACCCAGCTGTCCCCATCACTCTACGGGGCCATGGTTCTGAGAAAGGATTCCAACACTGCATAGCCAAGAGGGCAGGCCAGGGATGGAATGCATTGTCTGTTGGCCAAGGATTCTGTCTGACTGTAGGCCTCTTCCCAGACACCTGTGTGTCCTCTTCTTGTTTCTTCTTGGAGTCTTTGCTCCATCATCCCCTTCTTCCAGAAGCCCCCTCCCCCGATGCTTTATTTATAATTAAAGTCCTTGCTCCTCAAATTCCCACTTCTCCCTTTCCACCAGCATTCTCTATTCCATGGACTGACGTCTGTATCTGTGTCCTGGAGCCGTGGTGATGAAGTTCTTACCAAGGTGGTTTGAGACAACAGAGGTTCACTCTCTCCCGGTTCTAGAAATCGAGCTGGGGGCTCGAGATCAAAGGCACTAGGGCTCTTCCACTCCTCTCAGCCTCGGGGTCACCACAGTCCTTGGCAGTCTGTACTCGAAGCTGTATAACTCTTGTGAGATGCCTTGCGAGGTCTCTTCACCTTCTCTTCCCATTGTCCTCTTATTAGGACATTTGTCATGTTGGAGTTAGAGCCCTCCCCATTCCAGTGTGACCTAATCCTAACTAAATACATCAACAGCAAGCCTGTTTTCATATACGGTCACATTCAGAGGTCCTGGAGACTTCAGTGTACCTTTTTGGGGAACACAGTTCAACCAACAGTTGACACTACAGTTGACACACTATTTATTTTACCTCACTGTTTTAGCATCTGAACACAAGCCATTAGACCATAAGCCCCGCGAAGCAGACGGCCCCAGCTATGTTGGTCACTGTCTTGTTTCCCATCGCCTGGAACCAAACCTAATTTGCTCAACAACCTGGTGGTTGTGCGTGAACGAAATCCAAGTTTGGACAGACAAAGGCCATAGGGAACACAGGCTCAAAATACTGAGAAATGGAAACAAGGCAGTGAGTGCGGAAAGCTCCAAGGAGAAGCGTCTGTTATATCATGGCTACATAGGAGAGGGAGGTGCAGAGGACAAGGAGGAGACTAAATGGCAGCGAGCAAGGCAGGATCTGCATGGGTACAGCAGGGCAGAGAAAGAAAATGAAAGTCAGTAACGTGGAGGACAAACTTGAGGTGCTTTCCCCAAGTTCAGAGGAAACAGCCAGAGATCAGCGCAATAGCAGACAAGAGAACCGTATGGGTACCAGAGAAGGGAAACCATAAGGGGAAACCAGGGCATGACATGGAGCCAAAATCAAAGGCAAAAATAGCAACACACACACACACACACACACACACACACATACACACACACTTTCCACCTAGATTTTAGGTTCTTGTGTTTTGTTTTGTTTTTTTTGACAGAGTTTCGCTGTGTAGCCCAGGCTGGTGTGGACCTTGAGATCTTCTGCCAAGGACTGAGATTACAACATGTACCACCATACCTAGTAGATTTGGGATTCTAATATCATTTCCACTAAGAGGAACCAGGGTTACCTGGAGCAAAGGCTGATACTATGTGCAGGAATGATCCTAGAGCATTGGGTGGTAGAAAGTGAGGAAGTGCTCAGAACACCACCACACTGCAGGCGGGGGAGCAGGGGGCAGCTCACTGCCACACAAGATCCAACCTGCAAGCCAAAGCTAGAACATTTGAGCAACAAAATAAAAGTAGTATTGGAACACATCCCAAAGATAAAACAGATACCCACAAGTCCTACTTATATAAATGACTGAGTAAATAAATGAGATGGAAAGGCACATCTTCCATGGGGTAAGATTCCATGGGCTTATGTAGCTCCTTCAGGCTGCAAGGAGGGCCTTAATTCTCTCTTCTTTAGTTCCTTCCTTAAAAAGGGCACCATATGAAATGGGGAGAAATGAATAATTTGTTAGTGGAGAAATATGACAAGGAACCCTTCAGCCAGGCCATCAAGGTCAACATCAAAGTCATCAGCCATGTTGTATTGATATTAGTTCATTGACTGCACCAGATGTACCACACAAACATAAGGTATTAATAGTAAGGAAGATTGAGCAAATTCTAAAATATTCTATTCTAAAATATTCTCCAATAAGAAGTTTACTTTAAAAAAATACATATATATATATATATATATATATATATATATATATATATATATATATATATGAAGCCAAATGCCGGTGACTCATGCCTGTAATCCTAGCTACTCAGGAGGCAGAGATTAGGAGGATCACAGTTTGAAGTCAGCCCAGGCAAGCAGTTTGCAAAAATAGGGCTGGTGGAATGGCTCAGGGCGTGGGCCCTGTGTTCAAACCTCAGCACCACAAAAAAAGGAAGAAACAAAGTGGGTACAGTGCCTGGTGGCCAGGAATTGTGGCTCACTCCTGTAATCTAAGCTATTTGGGAGTTGAAGATCGAGAGGATCATGATTTAAGGCCATTCGGGGCAAAAAGTACCCAAAATAACCTAAAGCCAAAAGGGCTTTAGGCTCAAGGTAGAGTGCCTGCCTAGCAAGTACAAGGCCCCAAGTTCAACCCAGTACCCCCAAAAAGAAAAACAAAAAACTGGTAGATTGGATTATACAAAATTGCTAGCACTTGACCATGTTTGAACTACAAAGTCAACAACTAATTCAGAAACAGGCATTCTAACAGAATTGGTAACAAGAGAGTCATGTGTAGACACAGTTTGGCAAGTGTTTTGTCATATAAACTTTAAGAGGAATCTTGCAAATACCTAGGCTAGAAAAAGAACCAAACTTCCAACAAGGGCACAAATAGCAGACCACCCACTCACTTCCCTACAGCACCAAGTTCCAGAGATAATGGAGTGACTGCAGGGCACAGTGCTGCATGAGCCTCACAGGATGCACCACCCAGCTGCCCTTCATGAGGTTAATCCTGAAGGCCGACATCAGCCAGTGGGGACTGATGCATACTTTACAGCTGAGGTTGCAATAGAAATGGCCAAGCAAGGACTGCAGATCCTGTGGAAAGTGAGCCAAGCTTAAATAATTACCCTAAAAGCATATACCAATGTCAAGAGCACGTGTGATTTCACATCGAATGCAAAAACAGACCCTGAAGTAACAATAACTGAGGGGGAATTAAAAGTCGGGGGGGGAGGCAAACTCCTGGTCTACACTAGGGGAGGGATTAAAAGGAGACCATTTTGCTCATGAGTTTCATGATTAGAGAAGGGGATGGGGTGTAGCTCAATAGGAGAGATTGCCTAGCTTGCATGAGACCTTGGGTTTGATCCCCAGCACTGCAAACAACAACAAAACAAAATTGGAGAGACAGAAGTTAAGAAGGCTTTGAATAACTTGAT